AGCTGGATATATTAATAGATAGTAGAAATACACCGAAGGGAGGAGTAGAGGGAAAGAAGAAGGAGGGGTAGAGAGGGTGGGAGAGAGGATTGGAGGGAGGGTGAGAAGGAAGGGAGGGAGTGTATTGGGAGAGAGGCGTGGTAGAGGGGGAGGGGAAGTAGGGTAGAGGGGAATGACGGTGGGAAGACGGAAAGTTGGAGGGGGGCGAAAGAAAGGGTGTATGGAGGGTCGAAGAGGTACATTGGGTTTCTATTTTGGGGGGTATTATTGACAAGAGGAATGGCTGTGTTTATTGTTTAATGTTATATGGCCCCGGTTCTGTACAGTATATGTGTGACTGTAAGAAAATGAAAATGGAAAATAAAACTATCTATGCACAAAGAAAAAAAAAAGTGGATAATAACATAATGGTCCAAAGATTGTTAAAGGTATGTCCAGATAATTGGTACAAGATGGTACTATACTTCTGTAGCCAATTTTTTTCTTATGGACATTGCAGCCACACAGAACGTTGCCACTGCATACGTGGTAACCGGGTTAGTGTCCCGGAGGAGAAAGCCTTGATTAAAATTGTCTGCCCTCCCTGGCAATCTCTCTAATGAGGGGAGAATATGTGCAGACCTACAAGCTCTGTATAGCTCGCAGTGTAATAGAACATGTGAATTATCTTCCACTTCTCCTTTACCACATATACAAACGCGTTCTGCTATAGGTGTTCTCTTATACCTGCCCTGGAGGAGTGCTGAAGGAAGAATGTTAAATCTGGCTCTGAAGAAAGCTATTCTTTGTTTTGGGGAGATCAGGTCATTTAGATATCTTGCCGATTCCCACACACCCTGTTTGATTCTGTCCCTACTGTGGAGAGGCAACCTATTTAGCCAGATTGGGAAGAAAGTGAGGTCTAAGAGATCTTCAAAATGAGAACAAGGAGTGAAAGGTAAATATTTATACAAGTAAACATTTAATCACTACTTTTCTATCTGCAGTACTATTACTATTCTAACATTTTGCTTTTTGCCAGTGGTCATTAGAGCATACCTGCATTAAAGCAGATGAAGTCCATTGGACAATATTCGATTAAGGAGAATTCTATGAACCAAAATATTTTACATGCAAGAAGCTACCATATGTTGACATAACACACTTATCCAGGTCATGGACAAATTTAACTTATAATGTAAACACCCTGACCCAGTCAGCACTAAATGGGTTAATTTTAGCCCTAGGTGTTGCCTGGGACAAAGTTAAACTGACCCACTCAGTTATATCATCCATACATAGATCTGAGCATGAACAGCGATGCACCCCAATCTGTCTTCCTGCTGCTGATGTAGAGATGAAGTCCTAGAGCAGACCCACAAAAACTGGACCTGTTCCAGAAATTTCCCCTTGTTGCTTCTTCTAGAGAGCCCTCCCTCTCTACAGCTACATAGATCAATATGAAATAGAGAAGCAATCTCTGTCAATCAGGGCCTTGACCCTGATCGGGCTTTGGGGGAGTTTTAAAAATATCCAAAGTAAATTAAAATGGCAGGAAATGGCTGCCCCCCCCCCAATCCCATTTATGGCAATGAGGAAGCCCATCAAAGAGACCATTACTCATTTCACTAGGGCATCTATGACCACATCCCATTAGCATTTGCCCGGGGTAGGAACTGATGAAACATACAATTAATCGGGTGCAACCAAATGGAACCTCCTGAGTTCAAGTCCCGCCTTAGCCATGAAACCCAGCTGGGTGATGTTGGGCTGGTCACTCTCTCTCAGCCCAGTCCACCTCACAGGGTGGTTGTTGTGGGGTAAATAGTGGAAGGAAGGTACATTGGATATGTTCCGCGCCTTGAGTTATGTATAAAAATAAAATAAAGGCAGGATACAAATAAATAAAGCAATAAATAAAATAATAAATAGTCTCCAAAACTATTGTTATAGGAAAATCAACCTTGGAGTGCTTTTATGATTAGAGGAGATGCGTTCTCTCTTCCTTTCATTATTACAATATTGCATTATTACCCTTTCATTATTACATATATACATAAACACACACACATACATACATATATATGCAAAAACAGTCCAGCTGCATTTTTATCCAGGAGACTCTAGAGGTGTAATTACCTATTTTTATTATTTGCATTTTATGAAGGTGTGTTTTTTTAACTATACAAAGAAATAATACCAAGCAGAATACATAGTATTTCTATACCTCTCTAAAGTAACCTGTCAGGCCTGCAATTATATCCCTTTTAGAATTTTGGTTTGCCACGCTTTCTCTTATTTCATTATGCTTTTTTCATTAGTATAGTTGATGGGAGTGGGGAATAGAAAGGAGTAGGATTGTGAAATGTATTGTTGTCATTCTTTTCTAGAAGACCAAGGTCATCTTTTGTCTCCGCACTTTGACACCTGACCGGAAGCAGCTGGGTG